CCTGAGTGCCGTAGTCCAGGAAGCTGCCCACATTCCATTGAGATGGAGGGGTCGATTTGCTTCCCTTCAAGTGTCTGTTCCTTTGCAATAAGTTACCGCATGGATTTGCTCTTTATTAGAGCAAAACTCTTCTTCTCTGTACACGGCTGTAGGCTGGGGTGGCTCTCGAGTACAGCACTTTATTCTCATTCAACAGCATCTCATGACCGTCCCCATGTCCTTGGCACTGCGATAGCTACTGGTGATGTGGTGGTGAGCAAAGCAGACACAGCCCAGCTCTTGGAGGGCTTCCCCTCAGTCTAAGGGGAGGCTGACTATAACAAGAGAAATACACAAGAAAGTAGAAAATTGTAACGGTCACAGTGCTTCAAACAAGAGGCACGTGAAGCCATGACTGTATAGAATGAAGGAATTTATCCTGATCCGAGAGGCCAGGGAAGCCTTCCCCAAATATATGATGTCCAAGGGTAGATCCGAAGCCTAAATGGGGGTTAACTAAGAGAAGCGTAGAGAGAGCATGTGCAAAGGCCCTGTGGTAGGAGCGAGTATGAATGGTTATCAGAATTCAAAGGTCAGTGTGGCCGGAGTGCAGAAAGCAAGTGGAGAGCATGGAGAAGAGATTCAAGAGGTGCAGGAGATGGGGACAGGGACATCAGACTAAGCCAGACTTGTAGTTTGGGTTCAAGAGTTTTGTTTTTATCTTTAAAGCAATGAGAAGCCACTGAGAGGTTTCAAGTGTCAAGAGTACCATCATCAGATTTGCATTTGCAAATACTTAACTCAGACTGCTCCATGGAGAGCCGAGTGAGAATGGGTGTGGGGAGAGCAGTGGGGAGACTTTGTAGTCAGCCAGGTAGGAGAGATGCTGATGGCATCAGCCAAGGTGGAGTTCACTGACTTATTCATTCAGCAGATAGTTGTGGAGTACCTATGTGCCCGCCTTAGAGACAGAACAGCTGACAAAACACACATATGTGTCCTGGTGGAGAGTATCTTCTAGAGGCAGGAGACAATGTTAAAATAGTGTCAATACTTACAGAGGAAAAGAGAATTGGAAAGAAAACACACAGTTGGAAAGTGGGAGGGAGACTTCCATTGCAGTTTGTAATTTTAAATAGGGTTAAGGAGGGTGTAAATGACATTGGAGTAATACCCCGAAGGAGGTGATTAGTGCCCCAGTCTGGAGACAGAGAGTTCTCTGGCAGAGGGAACGGAAAGTACACAGGCCTGTGGTAGGAGCATGCCTGGAACAGTGGCTGGAAGAGATGGGGGGCGGGGTGGAGGGGAGGAGGAGATCAGGCCCAAGAGGTAATGGGCTGAAGACGGGGCATCCTGAAGGTGATCAGAGACCATTGTAAGGCCTTTGGTTTTTCCTCCCCAAGAGATGGGGCTTCTTCAGGGGAGTGATTTGATCTAACTTATTTTTAAGCAGAATCACTCCACTGCTGTGTTTAGAAAAGACGAAAGGGGAATAGAAAATGGCAGCAGGGAGTCTTTTTTTTTCTTTAATTTCATTTTTTAAGTAACCTCTCCACCCAGCATGGGGCTTGAACTTACAACCCCGAAATCAAGAGCACACTCCACCTCCACCAACTAAGCCAGCCAGGGCACCCCAGCAGGGAGTCTTCATAAAGGACAAGAGTGGTTGAACCAAGGTGACAGAAGTGGAGATGGCGAGAAGTGATTGGATTCAGAATATACTTTGCACATAGAGCCAAAAAGATTTACTGAGAGATTAGATGTGGGGTATGAGATAAGAAAAGATTCCAGGGGCGCCTGGGTGGCTCAGTGGGTTAAGCCGCTGCCTTCAGCTCAGGTCATGATCCCAGGTCCTGGGTTCAAGCCCCACATCGCGCTTTCTGCTCAGCAGGGAGCCTGCTTCCTCCTCTCTCTCTGCCTGCCTCTCTGCCTACTTGTGATTTCTCTCTGTCAAATAAATAAATAAAATCTTTAAAAAAAATAAAAAAAATATATTTTTAAAAAAAAAAAAAAAAAAAGAAAAGATTCCAAAATGACTCTAAGATTTTTTGGCCTGAGACACTGGGAGGATGGGGTTGCCACGGACTGAGATGGGGAAAAACTGGGGGAGAAGCAGGGTTCTGGGAGGAAGATCAGGAGCTCAGTTTGGCGTGTTTTAAATCTGGGGTGTTTGAAGACACGCAGGGGTGTCGAACAGGGAGTTGCATGAGCGAAACTGGAACGCAAGGGAGAGGTCTGGGCTGGAGATACAAGCCTGGTTGTCATCAGCAGAGCAATGGTATTTAAAGCCATGAGTCTGGATGAGATCACCAAGGGAGTTCATGCAGACGGAAAAGGGATGAGGTCCTCCACTGAGCCTGAGGCACCTGACACTGAGAGGTTAAGCAATTCCAGAAGAATCAGCAAAGAAGACTGAGAAGTCACAGCCAGCAAGGTAGAAGGCACGCCAGGAAAGTGTGTTGTCGTCACAGCCCAGTGCAGAAGTGTTCAAGGAGCATGGAGGGGATCAACCATGTCAAACGCAGCCCCTAGGTTAGCAAGATGAGGACCTAGAAACGGGTACTGATTTAGTAATGTTCACTGGTGCCCTTGAGAAGAGTGGTGTCAGGGAGCTGTGCGGCTGAAGGCTTGACCCAAATGGGCTTTTGTAGCAGAGGTCGGGAGAAGCGGACAGATTCCTCTGGGCAGGTGCTGCTTGCTGAGCCCCTGCCAGGTGCCACAGATGCTAACCGACTCGCCACTGATGCCAGCAACTCAGGGAGGAAACTGAAGCTCACACAGGCTCAGGGCTTGCCCAAGGTCCCACAGCAGAGCTGGGGTTTCCCACCCAGGCTTGTTGGACTGGGGAGCCCAGGACCTTTCTTTCTACTCCACTGCATCTGACATGAGAATACAGATCCCTCCAGGCCTCTCCCTCCCCCTCCTCCCAAGCCACACACAGCTAGCCAGCTAGCCGGGACCTACCGGGAGATTCCCTGTCTTGCCTGGTGGGTGGGATTTACCTAGGTGTAGACAAACATCCGCCTACCAGTTTTCCTTGCAACACCCGCAGCACGGATAGGTGCTAGGAGAATGACAGTAAACAGGCCTCACCCTCAGCCTTCAAGCTTAGTACGCACACACCTAAGCTTTTTGGCCCCAGACTAGTCCCGGGGTTCAATCCTGCCTCTGCCACCTGCTAGTTCTATGACCCTGGGCAGATCACTTTGTGGGGTAAGCTTTGAGCATCTCTTCTGTATAATGGGGATAAGAATCTCTACCTCTCAGAGCTCATAGGAGGATGCAGGATAGGGCTACAAAGGCCTAGCTCAACTCCTGGCATATAGTAAATGCTCACTAAACGATTGCCGCTAGTCAGATTGCCCACTGGAGTCGGAATGGAGTTTGCAGGCATCTGGGAGGCAGGCTAATAGGGGCCAGGCAGCCTTCTGCAGCTGGTGTGGGGAAAGTGGGGTGGGCTGTCATGGAGCCTTGGGGCTGGCCGTCTTGGATGGGCCCTTAGGGAGACAGGGCCTCAGCTGGGGCTCTTGCCTGGAGCCCAGGAAGCCGCAAGGGAAGGAATGAGGGAAAAACTGTGAGCCTCAGATTTCATTGCATGACACATATTGCTTCATACTGCTTTGAACAGAGGCAGGAGGCTGTAACTAGTAAGAGCATGGGCTGGGTGACAGATGCTGGGTTCAAGTCCAGGCTCCTTCACTTACCAGCTGAGTGACCCCAAATTTTACAAATTTTACTTTTCTCACCTGTAAAAAAGGTATTTATAGTGCCTCCTTCGTAAGTGACTGTCAGTGAGGACTAAAACAAATATGTGTAAAATGTTTTGAATATAGGAAGCTGAGAAATGAAGAAATCTATGACTGTTAAAGGTTATTACTTTCACTAAAATTGCAGTCTGGTGGGATAGGTACTACCCCTATCCTGCAGCAGGAACTGTGGCACAGGGAGGGTCAAGGTCACATAGTTAATGCAGAAGCCAGAATTCAGGGGCGCCTGGGTGGCTCAGTGGGTTAAGCCACTGCCTTCGGCTCAGGTCATGATCCCAGGTCCTGGGTTCGAGCCCCACATTGGGCTTTCTGCTCAGCAGGGAGCCTGCTTCCTCCTCTCTCTCTGCCTGCCTCTCTGCTTACTTGTGATTTCTCTCTGTCAAATAAATAAATAAAATCTTAAAAAAAAAAAATAAAAAAAAAATAAAAAAAAAAAAAGAAGCCAGAATTCACTTGCAAATAGTTTGCTTTCAGAGGCCACATTCAGCCACAGGACACCTGTCTCCCTGAAAAAGGTACCCAGAGTCCCAAACGTGACTGCTTGGGAGTGTCCTCTCCCTACATACCTGCTGTCACCCACAGGGATCAGGATCTGCCCCCTCCCAAGAGGGCCAGATTTCCCAGAGGAGAGGACTCTGGTGGAGGCATCCAGTAAAAGTGAAAAATGCTTCCATCGATTCAGCTTCTCTCGGACCCCAGGCCTGCCCCAAGCGGGAGTGAGCAACACAGCATCCCACTTGTGCCCAGCGCTGGCCCCCTCTGTGCCCCAGTCATTACCACTCCGGCCACTAATCAGGGCTACCAACTTTTCCTCGGTTTTTCCAATACACCCTGGTCCCTTCTGCCCCTCTGCGGATGCTCTTCTTTTAGCCAGCACCCTCTCCTCCTTGCTTTGTCAACTCCAGCTCATACTCTGGCTCTCAGCTTGGTTGTTCCTTCTTCAGGAAGCCCCCCAAATGTCGGTTAACCGTCTCTGCTGTGTTACCCTCAGACATAGTCCTTATCCTGTGCCATAACTGCCTTGCTATTTGTCTACCTGCTAGAAGGTGGGCTCCACGGAGGCAGCGGCCATGGCTGTTTTCCTACCATGGTATGATTAGTATCTGGAACAGGGCCTGGCACACAGAAGGAACTCGATAAGCGTGTTGTGTGAATGAATGAATGAATGTGAGTTGGACAAGGGACAGAGCCCCGTGCGGAGCCGACGGCATGGGTGTGCTAACTGACACTCTCCTCTCTTGTGTTGTCTTCCAGCAGTGACAGCCAGGACCCCCCCAGAGCCAAGACCTTCTCCAGAAGGTGACCCCTCCCCGCCGCCGCCACCACCACCGATGTCAGCCCTGGTCCCCGATACGCCCCCAGATACCCCTCCTGCCATGAAGAATGCTGCTAGTTCTAAGCAGCTCCCACTGGAACCAGAGAGCCCCCCAGGGCCGGCTGGGCCTCGATCAGCCCCCCAGCCGGAAGAGTCCCCTTTCTCAGACGTGAAGATCAGAGGACCCACCCCACCAGCCACAGGCCCACGGGATGCCAGGCCTTCTCGAAGGAGCAGCCAGCCATCCCCGACAACGGTGCCAGCCTCTGACAGCCCTCCTACCAAGCAAGGTAGATATGATGTCCCTTGTCCTGGGCCAGACTCCTTGGCTCAGGCTCCCAGCCCTGGATGATGCCACTGGAGGGAACCTCCTGGGCCCAGGAGGAGATGGGAAAAGGGATGGGGATGAGGCCTGGGGGAGGGCCCCGAGGCTGACTCCCCTTTTTGGGAGGAGCCTCTGACCTAAGTCTGTTCCCATTCCCTTGACTAAGATGTAAAGAAAGCAGGAGAGAGACACAAGCTGGCAAAGGAGCGGCGAGAAGAACGGGCCAAGTACCTGGGTGAGTGTAGGAGAAATGTCCTCATTCCCCCCACCCTCACCATCAGTCTCTGATAGGCAGCATTAACACTTCTGAACGCTTAATTACGCGCACTGTGCTGAGAGCAGTATGTACATTATCCCTTTTAATTCTCTCCACCCATTCTGTGGATGGGGGAAGCAGAGGCTCAGAGCGATGAAATCATTTTCCTAAGCCACACACAGCCCGTAGAATCCCTGCCATTCAGACCCACAGCCTCATCTCACCCTCTGTCCCATGCTCTTAGTCACACAATACGTGAAAGTCTGTCCAGCAGGCTCCAAAGTCAGACAGGGCTCTGGCCCTAAAGAACTCATGTCTCCTTTAGCACCGAGAAACCACGAGCCCAATGTGGGAGAGAGAGAGACCTTCCATCAGGGAAATCCTCCTTCTGAGGCCTGAGACCGTGTTCTGGAAGCCCTTCAGCATGAGGCGTGGTCTGGGAGCAGAGGCACATCCCTCCTGCCCCCTCCTCCCCTGGCCACTGCCCTTAAACAGGCAGAAGAAAGACCCGCCTGGGGCCAGGGCAATAGGGAAGGCCACTTCCTTGGCTGAGACCCATCATACCTGCCCTGGGGCTCCTTTCCCACAGCGGCCAAGAAAGCAGTGTGGCTGGAGAAGGAGGAGAAGGCCAAGGCCTTGCGGGAGAAGCAGCTCCAGGAGCGCCGGCGGCGGCTGGAGGAGCAGAGGCTTAAAGCCGAGCAACGCCGGGCGGCCCTAGAGGAGCGGCAGCGGCAGAAGCTGGAGAAGAACAAGGTGTGTTCGAGCTCATCGCCGGCGAGGGCTGCGCGGGTCTGTGGACACGTGCACGCACGCACACATGTGGATGCTGGCTCAGTGTGGACACATCTGTGTTGGCGCCTCCGTGCCATCTGTGCCCGCATGGCAGTATTTGTATCCATATCTGCGATTGTGTCCCTGAGTGTGCACGGGCTGGGGATCCTGCGGCAGCAGACATGATTGGTTCTGCGCATGCCTGGTGCGGGGTGGGGGCACTGTGTGCTGTCAGTGCAAGTGTTTCTGTGTCTGTCCCAGGGGTGCGTGTTTGTATATATGTGGAGGTGTGTCTCTGTGTGTGCTGAGCTCCAGGACGTGAGGAGGAAAGGAAGGAAAAAGTGGCCTGGCCCTTGCAGGGGTGGGGGGTAGAGGCTTAGGCTAAAAGGAAAACGTAGCCCCAAGGTCAGGAGCCTCAGGGCCAGGGGGACATGGCCCCACCTGGGAGCCCCAGGCAGGGAAAGTCCCACCCTGTCCTCAGAGAAACAGCTCATACATCCAGGAAATGACTCAAGAACAGTGAAAAGCTCCCCAAGAACAAGTTGGAAGGGATTTGTTACAAATGGGCTTCAATCATAGCAGGGATTCAGTAACCTTGGTTACCTACAATGAGTCAGGGACAACTTCTTGGGTGGGGAAGGCATTGTCACAGCAGAGAGCAGGGCCTTTCTGCCAGGTATGCTGAATGATGCTGAGCCCAGACCTCTCCCCTCTCCCCTCACCCCACCAGGAGCGCTATGAAGCAGCCATCCAGCGGTCAGTGAAGAAGACGTGGGCCGAAATCCGGCAGCAGCGCTGGTCCTGGGCAGGAGCCCTGCACCACAGCTCCCCAGGACGGAAGACCAGTGAGTGGGCTGGAGGGCTTTGGGAGGGGGGCGAGGCGGGGGGCCTGACGAGTGGGGCCAGGGAGCAGCTTCGTTGCCAGCAGCAGGCCCCTCTCTGCAGCAGCAGGTATGCCTTGCTTTGTGTAACTGTCTTCTGGAATGGTCTTCTAAGCCAAACTGTCCCTTCCCAAGGACTTCTGGTATCAAGTCAGAGGTGAATTCTCTTCATTTGGTTTGCTTTTCAAACCTCTATCGTTTTAGATGAGCCTTCTCTGTTTCTGTTTTTACCATTAGTTGATGATACAGAAAAGAACCCTTTAATGCCCGGCAGACACTGGGTATTTAAGAGAGCTATCGCCCCCTTGTGAACCTGTCTTGGGAGGTAGATATGCGTCTCTGAGTTTTCTTCATGTAGGGCCGTCAGGATTTGGGTCTGATTCTTGGCTGGCATGTATGTACCTTCGTGTTTGGATGTCTTTATGTAATGGCCAATTTAGTATTTCCAGCTGTGTTCCTTTTGGTGTATGTGCTCATGGATCTGTGGGTTGTGTGTCTTATATGTGTTCGTTTGCCTTGGTGTGTCTATGGGGCTTTGTGTACCTCAGTGAGGGCTCCCAAGTCGGACAGAATTGGGTTAGGACCCCAGCTCTGGCACTTGCAATGTAACCTCTAACATTCGATGTCAGTCTCTTCATCTGTAAAATGGGGATAACCATACTACTTGCCTCCGAGGTTGTAGGTAGATGTTTGGGAGGATCAAGTGAGGTAACATGTGTGTGGTGCCCAGCACAGTGCCTGGTACGTGGTAAGCATCCAAAAAACGTCAGCTGTTACAAATATCATGATTAAGTTGCTGCGATGTGTTTGTGCCTGTGTGCATCTGGGTCTGGCACGTTGTCTGTCAGTGTTTGTGTTTCTGTGTCTGTGCATGTCTGCACACACACATGCATGTGGAAGTGTGCCTTTTACTCTCTATGCCCGTGTCTGCATGTCTTTGTCTTTGTGTGCCCCTAGGGATGTGTGGATTTGTGTGACCATGACTGTGGGTTCTTCTGTTTAGGAATGTCTCTGCATTTGTCCTAGTACGTGGGTGTTGTAGCCATAGCGCCTTGGCAGGGCCATGCCAGCAAGTGCCAATGCTGGGTGGCTGTGGGGGAGGGGTTGCAGCGCCCAGCCCCAGGGAATGGCTTCCTGGCCAGGAAGGCTGTAGTTTCTCTAGTTCTGCTCCATCCCCTTCCTCTGTTCCTTCTCCATCAGCTCCCCCAATCCAGGTTGTCTCTGGTCCCCTATCCTCCCCTCCTCCCAGAGCCAAGTCTGCCTCCTCCTCCCCTTCCTAGCCTGCCCACTCCCCCCACCACCCTGCCCGCGGAGCATCTTGCATGGAAGGCCTCAGTGCCCCCCCTGGCTCCTGTCTGGCCCGGCCCTAATGCCGTGTCTTTTCCCCTCCAGGTGGGAGCAGGTGCTCCGTGTCGGCAGTAAACCTGCCTAAACACGTGGACTCTATAATCAACAAGCGGCTCTCAAAGTCCTCTGCCACGCTCTGGAACTCCCCCAGTAGAAGTAAGAGAAGGCCCAGCCCCCCTACCTCCAGAGCCCCTTGTAGCCCCACCAAGCCTCCTCCAGAGCTCAGCAAGAACCCCAGGTCCCAGGACCCCTCACATACGCCAGGTCTCCATCCCCACTCTACCCCACTCAATGTGCTGCACCCCCTCAGGGGAGCTGGTGGTGGTGTATGGGTCTGGACCCTGAGGACAGAGGTGTGCCCTGCAGGGGAGAAGAACAAAGACAAAGGGCAGTGTCCCAGCAGACAGAAAGCCTGGCTGGGGCCTCAACAGCAGGTGGAGGTGGGGGCAGGGGTGGGGTTGGGGATAGGGGTGGAGAGTGGGAATAGGCAGGCAGCCTCATCGCCAACCACAGCCAGCTGGCCTTGGCTAGCCTTAGGCAGGTGGCCTTGCCCCCCTGAGTACCAGACTAGCCTGGGTGCCGTGTGTGCAGAGGGGGCCCCTTATTCCGGCTCTACCCTGAGGGGCCCAAGCAACCCCACACCTCTCTGCCTTCAGACCCCTAGCCGTGTGGCCTTAGCTGGCTCCAGAGTTGTGGCCAACCAACGTGGCAGGGCCTCTGTGTTCCCACCATGCCCTGGTGCTCACATGTGAAGGGGCCATGGTAGGAGTTATTTATAAGTTTCTCCAGCTTTTATTTGGTTGTTCTGTTGCCTAGCAACCAAATCAGCTGCTGTACCAACTCCACCTGACTGAGGCTTAAAAATAACCCAGCAGCTGAGGGGACAAGCAGGGTGGCCCAGGCCAGCCAGGCCCCCTAGCAGCCTCCGTCTGGCATGGGACACCCCTCAGTTAGGCGCACAGGGACCCTCACTGTCCCCAGTCCATGGGGTCATGCCTCCCCAGGCCAGCCCTCTGGTAGCAGGAGCAGCAGGGCTCCGCAGTCCTTCACTTAGGGAAAGTGGTAGAGGGGGCCCTCCAGCGGTGCAGGACTTTGCCCTGGGAAGCTTCTCCTTGCCTGGGTCTGCAGTGGAGGTCAGGCCCCAGGGCAGACAAATGTGGCCCCACCTGACTGGGGTAAGGGTCCAGGTGAAGCCTCCCTGGGCTCCGCGTGGATGGTACCCAGCAGTCCCCCTGTGCTTCTGCCTGCCTGCTGCGGCCCCCAGCGGTAACGCGCTCCCGGCATTCTCCTCCTAGATCGCAGCCTGCAGCTGAGCCCATGGGAGAGCAGTATCGTGGACCGCCTGATGACACCCACCCTCTCCTTCCTGGCACGGAGTCGCAGTGCGGTCACGCTGCCCCGCAATGGCCGGGACCAGGGTAGGGGCAGCGGCCCTGGGAGAGCCCCCACGAGGGGCGGGACAGGGGCCAGCCCCGCTCGAGGGCCGCACCCCGACCGCACTCATCCCTCCGCAGCCGTGCCCGTGTGCCCGCGCTCGGCCTCTGCCAGCCCCCTGACGCCGCCGAGCAGCGCCCCCAGAAGCGCGCACCGCTGCGCCCCAGCTGGGGAGCGCGGGGAGCGCCGCAAGCCCAGCGCTGGGGGCAGCCCCGCCCAGGTCCGCCGCAGGCCAGAGGCCTCGCCGGTGAGTGGGCGCGCAGATGGGGCAAGGAGCCGGGGCGCAGGAGGGCGGCGCCTGCAACTCCTGTTTCTCCTCTCCCTCCCCACCAGGTGCAGAAAAAGGAGAAGAAGGACAAGGAGCGGGAAAATGAGAAGGAGAAGAGTGCCCTGGCCCGGGAGCGCAGCCTCAAGAAGCGCCAGTCACTGCCTGCCTCTCCGCGCCCGCGCCTGGCTGCAGGCCACGCCGAACTCAGGTGGGTGTGATCGGGGTCAGCAGGCCATTAGCTCGCTCGTTCATCCATCCGCTCACAAATAGTTGCTGGGCACCCATCCCTAGCATGAAAATGAAAGCTCCTGGAGGGCAGATTTTTGTTTGTTTTGCTTTGATGGCTGAGGTACTCTAGCACCTAGAACAGTGCCTGGGGTCTGGTAAGTACTCAGCAGGCACCTGCTGAATGAATGAACTGGACCTGCCAGGTACTGTTCTGGGCCCTGAGAACACCCCAGGGAGCCAAGCCAGGCCGAGGTTCTTGCTCTTATTTGCTCTACTGCTGAGCTGGACATTAATCAAAGACTCTCACGTGAATATGTGATTACAAACTGGGCTATATGCTCTGAAAGGAAATCATCTGGTTGTGTGAGAGCCTGTAAGGGGGGAGTGCTGAGTTACCCCGGCCTGAGTGGGGAGGATGCTTCCCTGAGGGAATGACATGATCAAACGGTTTGTATGGACGCTGCACTCAAAGCCTAACTTTTCCTTTTCTCTCAGTCCCAAAGCCAAGGCCCGGCCATCCTCTCCCTCCACAACCTGGCCCAGGCCTGCCTCTCCCTGCCCCAGCCCAGGGCCAGGCCACGCTCTACCCCCAAAGCCACCATCCCCTCGGGGCACCACTGCATCACCCAAGGGGCGGGTTCGGAGGAAGGATGAGGCAAAGGAGAACCTCAGTGCGACAGGACCTGTGGACAAGAACCAGAGCAAGAGCAAGACCCGTGAGGAGAAGGAGCCAGCAGCCCCAGCCTCACCAGCACCCTCACCTGTGCCCTCCCCCACCCCAGCTCAGCCCCAGAAGGAGCAGCCCACAGCTGAGATGCCTGCAGGTGGGCAGGGCAAGAGAAATGACTTTACCTGTGTGGGAGAGGTGGTCAGAGATATGAGCCTAGGGATGCCTGGGGACTGGGTGTTGGGAGACAGGAAGAAGAGGCTCCTACCCTCAGTAGGTCCAGGTCAGAAGCCCTACGGGAGATGAGGACCACACAGCAGTCCGAGTCTCTGGCAGAAGTTGGGGGAGGGGGGGTCGCCCTGAGGTCCGGGAAGCTCGTGGTGCATGCAGCGGTGATGGATGTGTGTGCTGACTCCTGGTCCTGGATCCCACCCCAGATGCTGCTGTCCTGACCCCACCCCCAGCTCCTGCTCCACCAACGACCCCTAGCAAACCCATGGCAGGCACCACAGACCGTGAAGAGGCCACCCGGCTCCTGGCTGAGAAGCGGCGCCAAGCACGGGAGCAGAGGGAGCGCGAGGAACAGGAGCGGAGGCTGCAAGCAGAAAGGGACAAGTGAGAGTGCGCCCTTGGCGACTGAGGAGTGCTTTATGGAGGCTGTGGGAGAAGCGCAGGTTGGAGCCCGAGTTTCCTCTGTCCCCCAGGCGCATGCGAGAGGAGCAGCTGGCGCGGGAGGCCGAGGCTCGGGCTGAGAGGGAGGCGGAAGCTCGGAGGCGGGAGGAGCAGGAGGCCCGAGAGAAGGCGCAGGCGGAGCAGGAGGAGCAGGAGCGGCTGCAGAAGCAGGTGCACCCCCTTCCCCTCCCCCACCGGGCGGGCAGTGCCGGGCTGGGTGCAGGCGCCTCCTGGTGGCGAGCTGGGGACTGACCCGGAGGGAAGCGGGGAATCCAGCTGCTTAGAGCTCACGGGGGTCTTTGGCAGAAAGAAGAGGCCGAAGCTCGGTCCCGGGAAGAAGCGGAAAGGCAGCGTCTGGAGCGGGAAAAGCACTTCCAGCGGGAGGAGCAAGAGCGGCAAGAGCGCAAAAAGGTGTGCAGAGCAGGGCGGGGCTTTTGTGGGCGGGGCCGTGCGGGCGGGCACCGCTGGGTGTCCGCTGCATTATGGGGCCGGTGGAGGCTGCGGGAGCAGGCCCTGCCCTGGGCTTGTAAAGGTCGGGTCAAGAAAGAGTTGGGGTGAGTTCTGGTTCCTGGCCTGGAGAGGACTGGTAGGAGCTGGAAGGGCTGTGACATTCAGTACGGGGGCTGGCTGGTGGGAAGTTTAGAAGTAGGGCAGGACTTGGGTGTAACTGCTGTGGGGTCTCCAAACAGCGCCTGGAGGAGATCATGAAGAGGACTCGGAAGTCAGAAGCTGCTGAAACCAAGGTCAGGATTCCCCAAAGGCCCTGTTGGCAGTGGGGGTGCCGGGAGGATGGGAGAGGGCGCTCAGGGTCTGGTTTGGGAGAGAGGAAGTCAGCACTAGAACCCGGTGGGGCCAGCTATCCCTTGAGTCTGACTGTTCTTCCAATTCAAAGCAGAAGCCGGACAGGAAGGAGGCACAAGCCAACAATTTCAGCCCAGGTAAAGGCCCTGTTCCCCCCATCTCTGTCCCCTTAGCCACCCCTCCTCAAACCTCCTCCTCTCCCCAGCCCCTGACTGATGGGCCTTACTCTCCTGTGACAGAGCCTGTGAAAGCCGGGGAGGCCAGGCCCTTGGGGCTGCAGAAGGAGGCAGTGCAGAAAGAGGAGCTGGCCCCCCAGGAGCCTCAGTGGAGGTACCAGCTACCAGTCCCAGGGGCCCTGAGCGGGGCGCTGGGGGTGCCTGGGTGGTCCTGGGGTGGGAGTGCTGAGTGTTGGCCCTGCACCCACAGCCTGCCAAACAAGGAGTCGCCCGGGTCCCTGGTGAATGGCCTACAGCCTCTCCCTGCACACCAGGAGAATGGCTTCTCCCCTAAGGGGCCCTCTGGGGACAAGAGTCTGGGCCGAACGCCAGAGGCACTCCTGCCCTTCGCAGAGGCAGAAGCCTTCCTCAAGAAAGCTGTGGTACAGCCCCCACAGGTCACAGGTAGGGATCCCTGATTCCTGGACCCGCAGCCTTCCCTCCCAGCAGCCTTCCCCAGACTCCCCAGCCCTGCCCTTTCTTCCAGCTCTGCCACAGGCCCCTGGCACACTCCACCCTGAAGACCCCCAGATATCTGGGCTTGGAGGCGTGGTTTGCCTTGACTGTTTCCCTTCCTGCTTTTTTTCCCAGAAGTCCTTTAGGAGGTTGCCTTGGATCCAGGCACAGCTATGAGGGCTCCTCCACACATCCTCCAGGAGGTCTGGAAGAGAGAGAGACAGAACAAAGCCGGAAGTGGCCTGGGCCCCTGGGGGTGGGTCTCCTGTTATTTTTAATCTGCACCTTATAGACTGATGTCTCTTTGGCCGGAGCCAGATCCTGCCCCTCAGTGCATTCATGTGCTCACACGCACGGCCGCCCCCCTCCCATATACACACATACACTCACAGCCTCTCTGGCCTCCCCCCTCGGGGAAGGGCTGCCTGTAGTATTTGCCTTGGTTCGGTGGGGTACAGTGGATGTGAATACTGTAAATACTTGTGCTCAGACTCCTCTGCGTGGAGGGGCGGGTGCAGGAGGCAGACCCTCCCAGGACTCTCCGGGGTGGTCTTCCTCTCTATTTAACTGTAGCTGAGGGGGAACACAGGTGAGGGGATGGGCGGCACCTTGGGCCACAGGATACTGTTTGCTTTAGGGGTACCCATGCCCCCTGCCCTCGCCTGGAATCAGTGTTATTGCATCTGATCAAACTTCTCCAGAAATAAAGTGAGAATAATTCTGCCAGTCCTGTCTATCCTTGGGGCTGGCGGAGGGTGGGAGCAGGTGGGCTCCTGCAGTCTAAGAACTGAAGGAGCCAGGACCTCGTGCTACCTACCCTTACCCAGGACTAGTCCTAGACCTCCCGCCTGTGGTCCCCATCTTGTCATGAATGCATTCATTGAACAAATGTGGTAGCAGGCAGGGGGCTGCGTGCTAGGGATGCAGTAGTAGGAAAAGATGTAGCCTCCATTCTCACAGGGTCTACAGTCTAGCAGGTGAGTGTCCTAGACACTCAGTTGCTTACTCAACATCCATTCCCATTTACCCAAACAAATGATTTTGTTCAGGTGGCCATCTTCCTCCTGGATCCCCTCCTACCCCCCACCTCTGTGCTTCAGCGGAGGTAGAGCCCAGGCCCAGGGGTGAATCATGATTGTAATGAGGCAAAAATGATGGTCCCCAACCCCTCATGAGTGACTGGTTTAGGTCCAGGCGTGTGACCCAACTGGGGCCGGCAGATATAAAGAAAAGTCTCCTGGGCTTCTAGGAGAGGCATCCTCATTTTTGAAAAACAAAAACCAAAACAAAACAAGAAAACGAGGCCCTCCCAGTGTCCCCCACCTCCTTGTGTTCGTGCCCTGGGTAGTCCCTTTCCATATTGTACCAGGGTGGGGCTGAGTGACCACCAGAATACAGAAGAAGTGATGGTGTGTCACACAAGAGGTTAGGTCACAAAAGACACTGCAGCTTCTGTTTCTGTCACTCTCTCACTCTTGGACCTTATGTGGGGGAGGCAGCGGCTACATAGCAAATAGCCTGTGGGACCTGCATGCTGAGGGACTGAAGCCCCCCGCAACCCCATGAATATGCTTGGGAACAACTTCTGCAGCCTGGTATGGCCTTCAGATGACTTCAGCCCTAGCCAACCTGCTTGACAATAACCTCACGAGAGCTCCTCTGCCGGAACCAACTAGCTAAGCCACTCCTGGGTTACCAGCCCTCCGAAACTGTGAGATAATAAATATTGTTGTAGACAGCTAAGTTTCGTGACGATTCGTTAAGACAGCAATAGTTAACTAAGACCCAGAACAAGGGGGAAAACTCTGCGTGTGTGATAGGACGTCGACTGTGATGGCTGGAGCTGCTGCATCCATCCTGCTGACCCAACCTGAGGATAAGGCCAATGTCAAGGGTGGCAGAGCAGGGAGATGGGGAGAACCTAGGTCCTTGAGAAGACCACTGAGTTAAACAAGCCTGAATCCAATCCTGCCACCAGACAACTTACTGTTTAAGCCAGTGGAGCTGGATTTTCTGTTTGATGTAACCAAAAGCTTCTAAATCATGCAGGGACACAGACAATAAACAGATATGTACATGCATGTCTGTTTCAAAGAAGGAAATGAACTGGATGAAAGGATAAGCGATACCAGGGAAACCTCCTCAGAGAAGGCATGTTCTAAAGAGGCAGCATGTAAATTAGACCCGAGGGCTGAGGAGGAGCCAGCCATGTGAGAAGGAATAGGGAGACAAGGTGCAGGTGGAGGGGTTGGTATGTGGAAAGCCCTTGTGGAATAGAGGAAGGAGCAGGGTTGCTGGGGAGGGCTGGGTGGCGTGGGAGAGATGAGTGGGGCCAAGTTTCAGGTGTTGTGACCAGGAGCCCCAAGGAGGAATTAATAGCTTCTTGGCCCTCTCCTTGGTGACATCTCCTTTTCCTACCACCCTCAGCCCTCCGCTCAGGCCCCAGCTCCTGTTCCCACCGAGGCAGAGACACCCAACATTTCCCTGGTAGCAGCACCCTCTGAATATTCTTGCAAGCGAATCCTTTACTCATTCCTTTATTCATTCAGTATAGTGTGGAGCACCAGCAAAGCACCAGAGGGATACGATGGTAAGCAAACAAGCAGACATGGCAGCTGCTGGTGGGGAAGGTGGGTCTTAACTAAATCACCACGCAAACAAATACAAATTCAGGAAATGCAGTAACTGCTATGAAGAGCGAATATAGAGCATTAAAAACATCTAACAGAGGAACCTAAGTAGGGGGTATCCCTCAATAAATGGTGTTTCATCTCAGATCTGGCTGGTGAGCAGGTATTGACTGGGCAAAGGCAGGCATGTGGAGAAAGGAGAGAGAAGCACTTTCCAGACAAGGGGAAAAGCATGTGCCAAGGCCCTGCAGAGAAAGGAGGCTCTGGAGGATTGTTAGCAGATCTGAAGGAATCTGTTCTTACTCACCACTGAATATTCAGGCCTGGGACAATAGGCACTCAATATTTATTGAACTAAGGAAGGTCCGTTGAGGAGGTGGGGCTTGGCTTGAGGTGCGCCAGACCGTGCAAGTCCTTCTAAGGCTGTGTCAGGAGTTTGGATTTTATTCCAAGGGCCATGGGAAGCTGCTGAAGGCTGCGAAATGGGGTGGAAACGGTGACACGGTCAGACTGGCATTTTTATTAGACCACTCTTGCTCTTGGCTGGGAAACCGGTAGAGGCTTGATTGTAAACTGGGAGACCAGGGAAGGAGTGATTGCTGGGGTCCAGATAGGAGATGATACAGGCTTAGCCTCTGGAAATAGAGATGGGGAGAAATATGCAACATTCATTTGCTTATTTTTTCAAGAAACATTGAGCCCCTAGTATGTGCGAGGTACACAGGTGCTGGAGACTTCCAGTGAGTAAAAACTGACATGGTCCTTATCCCCATGGAACTTACAGTCTGGTAGAAAAAAACAGGCATTATTTAAATAATACTGCAAATAGATCAACAATTGCAGCTATGACAAATATGTGAAGGAGAAGTATGTAGTGCTAGGAGTCAGTCATAAGAGATCTGACCTGGTCAGGGAGGTCCTGGAGGGTGTCCCTGAGAAAGCAATACTGGAGCCTCAGTCTGAAGGAGTAGCAGTTAACAAGGCAGAAGGACAGCATTCCAGGCAGAGGAAGAAACAGCATGTGCAAAGGCCCTGTGACAAACACGGCCCATGTAGTTGGAACAAAGACAGTGTTAAAGCACGTAGTGCCAGAGTTGTAGGAAGGACCAGGCCATGCAGGCTCCTGTGGGCCATGCTGAGAGTTTAGTCTGTAGTGCAAGAGCACTAGGAAGCATGAGAAAGATTTCAGCAGGTGAGCAACATGATCAGATTAATTATTTGAGATTAGCAGGGCTACCACCTGGTGAAGGGATTGAGAGATGAGGGGAAGGGACAGTAGGGAGTTGAGACAAGAACACCAACTCTGATAAGAGAGGATGGGCAACTGGCCAGTGAGAGGTGGAAACCGGGACATGAGAAGTGAAAAAAATGGATTGGCCATGGGGAATGAAAAATAAAGGTGTCAAGGATGATTCTAAGCTTTCCAGGTTAATAAGCAGATGGATACTGGTCTCTTCGTTGAGAGAGGGAACTCAGGAAGAAAGCCAGGTTTAGGGGTACAGATCACGAATTTGACTTGGCAGTGGGTGGATAACAATTTCCTTCTTTCTTTCTTTCTTTCTTTTTATTTTATTTATTTATTTGACAGAGATCACAAGTAGGCAGAGAGGCAGGCAGAGAGAGAGAGAGGGAAGCAGGCTTCCCACTGAGCAGAGAGCCGGATGCGGGGCTTGATCCCAGGACCCTGAGATCATGACCTGACCCAAAGGCAGAGGCTTCACCCACTGAGTCACCCAGGCACCCCTGGATAACAATTTCTTGTACAGGTCCACCTCTCAAGGAGATGGGTCTGATCCCACCGGTTCGGTGGGAGGAGCCAGGAAGGCGGGGCGGGGGGGGGGGGGTGTTGGGGAAGTTCCCACGGGGAACAGTGTTCACCAGCCCGGGGTCTGGTCCTCTGACACCTCAGGGCTTTTCCGGGAAGTCCTGGGCCAGGGCAGGAACCGACCCAGGCTGCAGGGAGGCCGGCCTCCTGGTCTCTTTCCTGGTTTCCCGTCGGAGACTTGGGAATGTCCGGTCAGCTCTGGGCCCTGCGGGAGCCTGAGAATGCAGGGGGTTGGCAGCAGCCCTCCGCCCTGGATAGCCCTCCCTTTCTCCAACAGGGCCATAGAAGGCAGGGCCTGAAGGAGGCAACCAGTGCCCTTTCCTCCGCGTCCCTCCAGGAGCCGCCAACGCTCCTGAACCCCGGCTTTCGCACAAAACTGCCCCCAACACACACCATTTCTTTCCCAGGGCTTCCCAGCTCCACGGCTCCGGTCTGGGAGGGCCTCCTTCAAAGGAGCAATCCTTTCACCCCCAGGCCCGGCCCTGGCCTCCCCAGGAACGGACATCGCGCGCCCCCTCCCGGTGAAACGAGCACACGGGCAAGCTCGGTGAGGTCAGAGCTGCCCGGACAGGACTGGACGCAGGGCTGTGGGGGTGGGGGTGAGGGTCCTGGCGGAGAGGTCGGAAAGGGTGTGTCCAGGCCTGGCCAGTGAGTCCCTCTGTAGCCCTGAGCAATACCCTCAAGGTCTGGGAGCTCCAATTCCTCTCCTGCTCATTAGGGCTAGTGACATGGGTGAGATGTTCCTTGCGGTGACACGTGGCAAAAAAGAGTTTTGTTAGCTGCAAGACCTCCTCTCCACCTTGAGGGTCCTTGACACCCTGGAGCAGCTCTACCTCACCTCCTGGGTGCTCCCAGCCCCCTCCTGAAAGCACTTAACTTCGAGACAGCCATGTTAGAGATATCTGATGCAGCCAGAACGCTGGGCACTCACGCATCCGTGGGTTCCAGTCCTTACCTCCACCGGGCTCAGCCTAGAATTGGCGACATGTAATACAAGGTAAGAGGTCAGGGACAGAATCAGGCACAGGGTCCTATGGGAATATAAAGGAGAAGTACTTGATCCAGACTCAAAGAGGGAGAGAATGTCAGGAGAAGCTTCTTGGGAAGGTCCTTTAAATTAAGGGTTGAGAAATTAAATGACTCCAAAGCGCAGCTCCTGGCATTCTGCTGTAGTCCACAGTTACCGGGAGGGAAATGGATGTCCGTATTGCTGGGAGTGGCCTACCAAGTGTGGGATGATGGTAGGGGCGTCTGCCCTACTTAGAGATGGGTAACAAAGATGCATTGTCTGTAGAGAATTTGAGAATCATAATAAAAACAGGGGTGCTTGGGTGGCTCAGTTGGTTAAGTATCTGACTCTTGGTTTCATCTCAGGTTATGATCTCAGAGTTGTGAGATCAAGCCCCTCTTGGGGCTCTGGGCTGGGCATGGGACCTGCTAAAGAGTCTCTGTCTCAAAAAAAAAAAAAAAAAAAAGGCTAAAACTTGGGCAGCTTTTTTATTATTACCATCCATCAGCAATTTTATTTTTTTGTTTTTAAAGATTTTATTTCTTTATTTGACAGAGAGAGAGAGAGAGAGACAGCAAAAGAGGGAATATAAGCAGGGGGAGCAGGAGAGGGAGAAGCAGGCTTCCTGCCGAGCAGAGAGCCTGATGTGGGGGCTCCATCCCAGGACCCTGAGACCATGACCTGAGCTGAAGGCAGTCACTTAATGACTGAGCGACCCAGGCACCCCACCCATCGGCAATTTTAAACAATATCAGTTTAAAAACGCTTCTTCTCCCCCCAAAATGCTTCTCCCCCCCCAAAAAAATATTTTATTAGCCTAAGTTCTAAATAGTTGCTACAGGGCGCCTGGCTGCCTCAGTAGGTAGAGCGTGCAACTCTTGATCTTGGGGTTGTGAGTTTGAGCCCCATGCTGGGTGGGGAGATTACTAAAAAAAAATCTTTAGATAGTTGCTATAGACACCGTTGAGTTTTAGTAATATTTATATTAGCTTCCAATGACCACAACTTATTACTTACCTTTGAATAAACCTTGTGTTCTACATGGAAGTTAATTAGGAGAAATCTCACTTAAATAGTTGTCTCTTGACACACAGACGCACATGTGGACATTCACTTTGAAATCGCTCAAGCTTGCTTTGGGCTTGATTGGTGTTTCCAACTCTGTGACACTACGTGTTCTGAGCTTATTTTTTAAAAAGATATTATTTATTTATTTATTTATTTGACAGAGAGAGATAGTGAGAGAGAGAGAGCACAAGCAGGGGCAGCGGCAG